TAGTTGAAATTAATTACTTTGGCAAAGATTTATTGGAAATATTTAGAAGATTTTTCTCCTCTTAATTTATGATATTACCACACTAGATGAGGGAATAGAAGGGGAACTGATCAAATTTGCAGACAAGACTAAACTGACAGAAATAGCCAGGAGATAGAGTCAAGATCCAGATGGATCATGACAGAATTGAGCACTGGGCTCTTTCTAACAAAATGAAATTCAGTGTAGGGAAAAGTAAGGTTTTACACTTAGGCAAGAAAAATCAAATGTACAGTTACAGTTTATGTGAAACCTGGCTCAATAGCAGTAACTATGAAAGGGAACTTGGAGTCCTAGCATAGTTAAATATGAGCCAATAGTGTGCATTAGCAGCCAAAAAACCCAACACAATCCTACACATTAACAGAGGAATAGAATCAAGATTATCTGAAGTATTAGTACTGCTTTATAAAACTTTAGTAGGACCACACTTAGAATATTGCATCCAGTTTTGGTCACCATATTATTAAAAAAAATATGTAAAGGGTCTGGAAGACTGCAGAAAAGATTAGTGGGTTAGAATCTAAAACATGAAGAATGTTAGCAGGAATTTGGGTTTCTCTAGTCTGGTGAAAAGAAGGACTAGGAGTAACATGATAGCAGTATTCCAATATCTCAGGAGTTGCCATAAGGAAGAAGGGAGTCAATCCAAAGCAGCAGAAGACAAGAAATAATGGATGGAAATTAAGCAAGGAGAAAAGTATGAGAACAATTAACAAGTGCACTAGACTTGATTGTCTAGTCTCTTCAGAAGTTTTGGACTAAAAGACCTCCACAGTCCCTTCCAACTCTGTTATTCTGTACTGTTCTGCTTTCAGTCATTGGAGCTCCAATGCCTTTTATAGTGCTTCTTTTTTTATTTACCTAGCGCCTTCGAGGCAGTTTTGACTCCTGGTGACAGCATGGATTAGTCCCAGCAGCTTTATTGGCTGCGTTGTGTTTATTGGCAAGGGTTCCAAAAATGGTTTGCCTTTGACTCCGTAGTGCTGAAAGAGAGAAGTTACCCAGCCACCGCTGAGTCTAAGGCAGGACAGTTTCTAGCCTGATGGCTTAACCACTGGATCAAATTAGACCTCTTATCTCCGATTACAAACCTATTAAATTCTCATTCACAAATATATTCATTATTCTGTGATATGTATAAATCATGTACAGGCAGTCCTGAACTTACAACTGGTCACTTAATGACCATTTAAAGTCACAACAAACCCTAAAAGTCACTTATAAACCAGTTTTTAAGTTACAACTGGACTTTTTGCAAGTTTCCAGCACTTACATCTGGTTTCCAACAAAAAATACCCATTGGTAAAATTGATTCATGTAATGATTATTCACTTAATGACAACGGCATTCACTTAACAGACATAAAAAAATGTCAAAACATCAAGTCTGGTCAGATGCCGCCACGCTTATGACTGCAATGACTTGCAATTGTAATTCCTGGCTCAATTATCATCACTAGCTGACAACTATCTATAAGAGCCATAATCCAATTTTTTTCATACAGATTTGGGTATATTATGAAGTGCAGCAGAGATTTTTTTCAGATTGTGTTTAATTTATAAAAATTAAAAAAAATGTATACATATTTGTACTTTCTAAGAAAAACAATCTTTTCTTAAAACTGTTTTCCAAATAGCTTAGATCCTAGTATATTTAATGATTGATAAAATAGATTAATATTTTTCTAAACTTTTTAAAAGTTTATTGGCACTCAACGTGCATAATAGAAACATAATTTCTTTTTTTATGGCAAACATTTTAATATAGTGAATGTAATACTGTATCAATTATAAATCCCCATATTAGAATAAATCCATCAGTAGATTCTTGCATCTTAGCTGCTATGCATCCAATCTAACCCTATGTGTCATTTATAGGAAATTCTGTTCCTCAAGCCTGTTTCTTTACTTCAGATAACTCTATAATTAAAATTAATAATGTCGTATTTTAGCCTTCTCTATATTTTAACAAACAATAAATATAGTGTATTTTCCAAAAGTAAATGCCAGCCATACTGTACTGTACTGTACTCTGATATTTACTTTACCACTCTATTTCTTATATATAGAATGAATACAACATTGAGACCTTATATCATGCCACAGTAAATGTTTACTTCTGTTGGTGCCAACTGTGTGCCTTACTATACTAGGTATGAATCTTACCTTTTTATTATAGTTTGCACATTTTACATCTACCTCTGAAAGTGTTCTGTTTCTGTTCTATATTCCAAAGACTTCTTTGTCAGAAATACCTTACATATAGATTAAAAGTTGCTGCACTCACATTTTACAAAACTACTCTGTATGGACACTGTCTTATTACTGCTATATAAATAACTGTGCAAATATGACATATACAATATCATGTGTACTTTATTCACAGGAACACTCATTACTGACTGAGAATTCATCAAAATGACAAAGTGTGTGCTATGATACCATTCTGTAAGCTTCACCCCTACATCTTTATGCGAGGCAAGCATGGAAGGGATGAAATTTGTATCATATTATAACACATTTGTGTCATTTGCCTTTTCTTGACCTCTCCATAAATGCCCTTCTTCTCTATGTAAAAGTGCTTAAAAAGATTACTTAAGTATGTCCCACTTCAGAGTGAAAATTGTGACTTGTGATAAACTGAACATAACTTGGTATTTTAGGATCTTGGAGTTATGTTAGTAATTAGAATGGTAGAATTTTAAAGGCTTTTCTACATACAGTAGGTACTAGAGAATCTTTTTGAATAAGGGTTGCTCTCTTTACATCCGATTTGTTTTAATTGAGTAAGTTGATTATTGAGTTTTGATATGCTTTTTATCCATTTACTGGATCAGGGGTGTCAAACTCACATCGTCACGGCGTCATCACGGGACTTTTTCTTCCTCGCTAAACTAGGTGTAGATGTGGTCAGCACATGACACATCTGGCCTGTGGGCCGTGAGTTTGACACCACTGAACAAGGTCATAGCCATATTTGCTGGGTTTACAAGGCAGCCACAAATCACAGCTAGTATGGCTATCAGCAAACCTCTAACACATTGTTGGAAATAAAACAATCAAAGTTTATAAATAGATAATACAAATAAAATGTGTTTCTCTATGTGTTTTTGCTCTGCTTTTACTATTTGTAAAACACGTAGGCTCTTCTTTCAGCCAGCATCTTCAGTTATTTTCTTTTTTTCTTCTCTGTTCTTCCCAAATGCTGAGAATTGCAGGATTTTGATTTAAGTATTTTATAGGACTTTCTTCTTATTATTTTATCTTTTTAAAAAAAGACCAGGAGAATTGTGAATTTACATGTAAAAACTTGTATGTTATTAGGTATATAACTATATTTAAATAATGTGTTTTCTCTAGAAAACACACACATTTGCAGAATAACAGAGTTGGAAGGGACCTTAGAGGTCTTGTGGTCTAACCCCCTGCTCAGACAGGAACCCTATACCATTTCAGAAAAATGGTTGTCCAATATCTTCTCAAAAACCGCTAATGTCGGAGCACCTACAACTCTTGGAGGCAAGTAGTTCCACTGATTATTTGTTCTAACTGTCAGGAAATTTCTCCTTAGTTCTAAGTTGGTTCTCTTCTTGATTACTTTCCATCCATTGACTCTTGTCCTATCTTTAGGAGCTTTGGAGAATAGGTTGATCCTGTCTTCTTCATGGCAACTCCTTAGGTATTGGAACACTGTTATCATGTCATCACTACTCCTTCTTTTCTTTATATATATGTTTTCGGCTTTGTGCTTGTCTCTCTATAAATCTTGGTGTATGTGTGTGGAGTGTTGGCTTTGTTGCTGTAAGTGCGTTGATTGGCTATGTAGTTGCATCCTGATTGGTAGATGGAGTTGATGTTTATAGATTGGTCGGCTGTTTTGTATCATCCTGTGTGGCTGAGGTGCTGTCTGCCTGTCCGTTTTTCTTTTGTGTTGTAACAACCTGGGTGGTGGGTGGGGCTTGTTTGTTGATTAGGGCTGGTTTCCAGATGTCTGGTAGGCGGGAGGTATAGTCATGTTTATTCATGTTGTGGGCATGTTTTTCTATTTCGATGGCTTCCATAATTATTCTCTTGTTGAAGTGTTTAGTTTTGGAGATTAATTTAAGGTGCTGGAAAAGGGAGGAAGTTTTTTTCTTTTTTTCTATATATGTCAATTAGCATTGGTCATGGATCAGTATTCAGAAATCTTTTTATGTTTGTGTATGTTTGTGCCAGGTACATTCCTGTTGTATTTGCCCAAGCAGTTAAGAAATTCCAACACAAGCTGTTCTCTAGTTAAAGAGGAACCATAATAAAAAATAATAGTAGAAACTTACTCTAAGCGTGTTTTTTTATTAACTAATTAAAATATTTAATATTTTGTGGTATATAGTTGCAGGAACAACCTTCTAAATTATTAAATTATAGGGACACATTTATGAAAAAAATTACATTTTTTTTCTTCTGCTACCAGACTTATGTTCTTCTTTATGAGAAAAGGCTTCCTGTTTTTTATTGTTTCTTTCTTCATCATAAATAAAAATTTAATCGAGGATTGCCACATCTAGAGACAGAAAGATATTGCAAGGAAGATGGCACTTCTGCAGACCAGTATCCACTTCTAGACAAATAATACAAACCCAGAAATGTTAATGATACCTGATCATGAGGTTAAATATTAATGCTGAAAATATTTTCTTACTTTATATTAAAAAATTGTCTAGGATCACCATGATGCAGGATTTGGGTTATATAGTATATAATGTGGATTGCATAGATACATTGGTAGAAAGCTTTATTGGAAGCAACAATTTGGACTTGATGGATACTTTTCTCCAATATTATACTTATAACATAATATATTTTAATAGAGATTTTTCTTAAATTAAAAAAATATTTTATGGATGAATAAAGTATTAATAATTTTAACATATTAGAACCACATCATGTTTATCTTTTCTCTTAATCCTTAAAATGTAGACATGGGATACAGAGTTGGAAAGATCTGCTCAGTCCTGGGCTGAGACATGTCTTTGGGAACATGGACCTGCAAGTCTTCTTCCATCCATTGGTCAGAATTTGGGAGCACATTGGGGAAGGTAAAAAAAAACAACCCACCATTATGCTACTCTTACTTTAAAAATAAAAAAACTCCTTTATTTCTTTTGTAATATATACTTGAATGAATTGGAAATTTCTTCACTTATTTTTTATAGATATAGACCTCTAACATTTCATGTCCAATCATGGTATGATGAAGTGAGAGACTTTACATATCCATATCCTCAAGAATGCAATCCTTATTGCCCCTATAGATGCTCTGGTCCTGTATGCACTCATTATACTCAGGTAAGTGTTCCTTTTTGAAAATGAATAATAGGGTTGAATTCATCACTTTGTGATGGAATAATAGAAAACAAGAGATAAATGATCGGAAAATATGTAAGTCACATGGAGGTTGTATCTGTGTTTAAAAATCTTTTCTCATTTTTTAAAAAATAGCTTGCAGCAATGTATCATCTATTTTTGATTTCTATATGTCATCATTGCAAATAATTTTTTCCTAAGAACACATTTTGATATGAATTTCTTGGAATATATCAGGATATATATAGCAATCTATATACTTACCATAGTAACTTGGTTGATGAATGAACTGATTAACTTACTGATTGAGTTATTTTCTGAAATGAACCAATTAGCCCTTAGATAAAGCTTACATGTTCGTTTGTGTGCTTGGAGCAAAATACAAATTTAACAATTTTGCTAAAGAAAACTGACTTGATTTTAAAGTTAGATGTTTCCCTACATCTGATAAACAATTTACATTCATGTTTACCAAAAGCAATAATAATTTAAACTGCAATTAATATAATTAAAACTTGTATTTTAAGTAAAATTATTTATTTTTCAAATGTATAACTCCTTCCATTGTAATAATAAAAGTTGTTCTCATTTAGTAACTGCCTTACTTAGACACTGTTCACAGTTATAAAAGTGATGAAGTAACAATACAATCAATCTTCACATTTATGTTTGGTGCTTAAGTATATCAGAGGGTACTGGAGATCTTTATATTAAACTTTTTCTCTTTATGAAATAACAACATAAGTATTACAACATTTATCTATTATATCCAATTTGAATCCTTCTTTTTATATTTTTTTCTCCATTTATATTTAAACAGGTTTCCCCCTTTTGTTTCTTCAAATAGTAAAAGTCCAGTTCCTGTCAAAAAGCAATTAAACATTATCATCATTCCCAGTCTAAATCAGAAAATAACTAAGCATCTCCAGAAATAGAAACTCATTATTTTAACCATGAACAAATACATTTATTTAGTATTCTTTCTTCTTTCTTCCAATGATCTTTAAATTTCTAAAACAGAAGTCCTAATATCTGCTTTGTTATACTCTCATTGTCTATTGTCTTACAATTGTTGTCATCTTTATCGGGCCCCTTTTGTAATTTTGCAACTCCAGCAAATTCTGTTTATAAATTGAAAACAAAACATTTATTCACTTCACTTTTCTAATTTATTATTTGTATTTATTTTTTAATTTTTTAAATCTTCATTTAATTTAATTGTAAATCCATTATTTTCTTTTCTTTGTTGCAGTCTAAAATTTTAAAATCCACCTGTAAATCAGTTTCAATTTTATTCAATGATGCCTATTCCTGTTCAATAGTAACTGATTGTATTATAGATTTAAATGCTGAAAGACTTCCTGTACCCAACATCAAACATTTCTTGTAAGGTAGCCACCTGGTACCCCCTAAAGTCTGACCTTCAAAGTCATCCTATTGATTTCAAAATATAAGCAAACTTTTTTCCTCATGAGAAAGGATTCTTTCAATTATTTTTGAACTTTTCAATCAAGTGCATCTGAGCCTTTAATCCATTTAAAGCTTTCTAAAGCCAACAATAATCATATTTTTGCTGTAATTCCAAAACCTTTTATTATAAATATTTAAACTTGTAGTTAAACATTTTTAAAAGATTTAAGGGAATTCACCCAATGTTTTCAATAATGCTAGCCAATCTGAAGATATAAGGGAATGCATGAATAACCATAAGGAAAGGGAAGAGCAGATACTGTCTAGGAAATAATCAGATAAGAGAGGCAGGAGGCTGCAATCATTTAATAGTCAAAGAAAGAAACTTAAGAAGGAAATGCCTGATAGATCTAACAGTTAAAATTAGTGGGTGGAAAGTTTATACTTTCAGAGTTATAGGATTCTGATAATGAGCCTTACCTCATCTAGTTATGTTTACTGTCTGGTTTACTTAGGAAGGTCATTATAAGATTCTCAATCTTTAAAAATCCAATAGTAAAAGGAAAAAAAAATTAAATTCAAATGGATTAAGAGATGACCTTTGGTTCATGTAGGTGACATTAGTGGCTATAAGCACAATGAAATCCATGACTCCAGCCAATTACCAGCTTACCACAAAAATGCAGTTTCTGCCCTTAGCTGATAAAATATAGTTGTGTGGAATTCATGTGGGTAATCCTGTTACTCTGGACAGATTTCAGTAGCCCAATTTTGGGTACAATTTTCAGGTGCAATGTGTTCCTTTTTTCTAAAGGAATATCAGTTCACTATGACAGCTCATCAGAATTCAAATTTGGATAAAATTTTATTTTTTTTCCTTTTTTCCTCCAGGTGGTATGGGCAACAAGTAACCGAGTAGGCTGTGCAGTCAACCTATGTCATAATATGAATGTATGGGGACAGATATGGCCAAAAGCAATTTACTTAGTGTGCAATTATTCACCCAAGTAAGTATGATGGTACAGGTGTTAACATAAAAGGCATATCTTAACTCCCCACTGCCACTATTTAATAAAATTATTTAGGATTGTGTTTTGCTTTAGATTGGAGTCACAATAGGAAGTAAATGTTTAAACCTTTTGCTTGGAATTGCATCAGAATTGGACATAGAATATAAAATGTAAAAAATATGAAATAATATTGTTGATGGGGAAAAGAAAACTGCTTTCTGCTTTCTGCACAGTATCTCCTTAAGCCTGCAGGAGCTCTTAGCACAGAGTAATATTAGATATTTTGAATTTTTAGAATGCTAGTCAATATAAACCAGTATAAACCAAAGTACAATATTCAGAGTATTCATTGTAATCTGTAAAGCTAGCAGATAATAACAGAAGGGAATTGGCTGGCTACTGTTCATATAAATTCAGTCCTTACATTCAGTAACATGCTGCTGGTCTTCAAATAGTACAGTGAAAACAATCCAATATTCTTTTTATACTAGAATGAGCACATGTAAGCCTGTAACAGTAACAGAATTGGAAGGTCATCTAATCCAACCCCCTGCTCACGCAGGAGACCTGAACTAGGGATTTGAACCACCGAACTGCCAACCTTTCTGATCAACAAGCTCAGCTACTGAGCCATCTAGCCTGCATGTATCAATGGAATTATACATTGTGCTCAGTTAACGACTGCTTCATTCCATGACTATTCAGACTGACAATGGTGGTAACAAGTAGATTTACAACCAGTCCTCAAATTTACAGCTACTGCAGTTTCCAGGAAAAGCAGAGGAATTACTTAGTTGCAGAAACAGCTCGCTTTCACATTCAAGCCATGCCAGAATGGAAGTCTAAACTAAAAATGATGGATAGCAGTTTATAACCATATTTCAGTCATACAGTATGTTTCCCTCATGTCGTGTTGCATGCTGCTTTTAGCTCGATGGACAAGTCTTTCCAAATTGCATCTCAGCAAACTTTCTTATCTTTCACCATCCCATTTTTTCTCACCTTGTAAACCAATTGTTGAATATACCCTGGCAGAACTCTTCTGCCGAGCCAGAATAAGGATAAGTGAATGAGTGAACCACTAGCTTGCCTTCCTCAAGGCTCTGTTTTGAGAAAAACTGACGCCAATTCATACTAGGCTGCAGGAAGAAATTCCAACCCTTAAGAATATAGAAAAGATAAATGGGGTGCAATCTGAGATGATATTGTTTATATCATTCATTTAGGCTGTCCTTCTATGCCTCAGAAGCAGAGGCGTGACAAATCAGGAAGAATAGTGTTTTTCACAGGGATCAGGCACTCCATTTATTTCATTTTGTTTTTTATTCTTAGGGGCAATTGGTGGGGGCATGCTCCATACAAACATGGTCGTCCGTGTTCTGAATGTCCCCCAAGTTTTGGGGGAGGCTGCAGAGAAAATCTTTGTTATAAAGGTATGTAATCATAAAAATAATGTGTATACTGCTAGGTATGTAGTTTTGCTGATGCTTTAGGAGGCAGGCAGTTGTTTTCTGATTTCATAATGAAAAGTATGTGTTATGCAAGGGTTCTATAATGATTTTTTTTTAAAGAAGAGTTTTGGGCATAAAAATACAATTAACTTTGTTTTTGTAAACATTTTATAAGCTCCTGAATCACAAACTCAGATGGGTTAAATAATCAGCATTTGAATTCTTCTAATTCTTCTAATAGTAAAAATTACAGTACTTGTTAATCAAACAACAAATATATCATCCGGTTAAACAGATTCCTGTTTTGTTAATGTGGCTTGAATTTAGTAATTTAAACATAAATGCTTTTGTAAACAATTTTGCAAATTATCTCTATATTCCCATCTTGTCAGAATCTCCATGATTTATATACATTCATTAAGAAAACTCTTAGGTTTTTCTTTCTCAATGCAACCAAAGTTCATTTCACAAATTAAGAACAATACATTTTGTATATGAAATTTGACGTATATATATTCATTAGAACTTTGATAGAGATTCTGAACCACTCAAATGATGTCATATGTCTATATTTGTCATTATGATGCAGCTTGTATAGTGTTTTTATATGGAATACTAAGAAAAGAACTGATAATTTCAGTTGTTTTTCTAGTACTGTACTTTAAATTCTGTATATTGTTTTTTGTGTATATCATTCACTTAGTGCCATGACTAGATAATCTCAGCTCATTAACAATGGCTGGTAGTAAAACAATCACAAGCCAACCAGTATTAAAACCCATTGATTTCAGTGGATTTAGGCACAGTGGGATCAAGAAGCACTTAAGCCTGTAATCCTTTAAGTAAGTTCCTAGGAGTAAATTCCACTGAATACAGTAGAGTTTATTTCCAAGGAAATATGCACAGGATTATTCCCTGGCCTTATCATGTCTAGCAAAGATTAAACATGCCATATTTATGCCATTCTTAATTATAACTATTGAATGAATCCATTGTAAAAAAAAAATAGCACTTATTCCTTTCAATTGCTTTACCAGAAGGTTCAGAAAGGCATTACTTTCCAGAGATAGAAACCAATGAAGTTGAACGACATCAGTTACATGTTCAGAATACATTAGAAAACCAAGTGCAACTACAAGCATCTCCCCGTGATGATAGTGAAAGAAATGAAGTCATAAGCAAACAACAGATGTGTAAGGAAATTTCATTCATAACATGATTTTGTTGTTGTTGTTAATTGTTAATAATAATCACCAAACTGTCCTGAAACACTGCGGTAACATCAGCTGCTTTCCTCCTTCAGCTCAAATTGTTTCCTGTGAACTACGGTTAAGGGACCAGTGCAAAGGAACAACATGTAATAGGTAAGGTGTCTTTTCATGGTTATCCATCAATTCTGGTATTGTGTGTATTTCATCTAATTTTTTTTATTTTCTATAGTTCTCAAGTTGTTTTTTTAATTCTTTAGGTATGAATGTCCTTCTGGATGTTTGGACAGCAGCGCCAAAGTTGTGGGAAGTGTCTATTATGACATGGTACAGATATTGTAATTTACTAGGAAATTTAACTAACATGTTACACTTGACAAAGTGTTTGCTCAGTAAAATGGCATTAACTTGTTAATTTTGGCAGGAATTTGAGGTTTCTCTTATCTTTATTAGTTTTTACTCAATGTATTGAAAACCTGGGCACCAAATGTCTAAAATGACCCATACATACTGTAGAATCATACTGTTATACTAATTTTTACATAATTTGTTAGCTCATCTCTCTCAATATGGAATTAATGGTGAACTTTTCATAGTTCCAAATTTAATAAAACACAAAATATTATTTCTAATAGAAGTATGTATAAAAATAATGGTTTGATTGAACAGTTTCTGTTTTTCTTTTTCTTTTCTTCCTAGCAATCAAGCATCTGTAGAGCTGCAATACATTATGGTATCCTAGATAATGATGGTGGATGGGTTGATGTTACTAGACTAGGAAGAAGAAATTACTTCATAAAGTCCCAAAGAAATGGAGTCCAGTCAGTTGGGTAAATAAAAATGAAATGTTCTCTCACAAATTGGTTCTCAAGTTTTCAATATAATATAAATAAATTTAGGGACTTATTTATAAATAATTACAAAACATTTAATAGTATATATGTTCAGAAGTGGTCATTAATTAATGTTGTGCTGCATGATGATATAAGAGCTATGAAAGTTTGTCTGAAGTCATCTCCATTGGTTGTCTATGGTCTTTCTATTATCTGTATTAGTTCTACTAGTCTTCATAATATCTCTGTGACTTATTTGATTAAGGTATTTTAATTATATATTTGAGCTAGTTGACCACGTTAGATATTATTACTGTTTTGAGTCAATTTAGTAATATAAGAAAGACAAACTTAATTCATACTAAGTAAATGCAGCTCCCCAAGATCCACTTTTCAACCCTGACAGCACTAAGATCATGCTCTCAGCAGTATATGCTGCGTACTGAAGCCAGCCAGGTCCATTCCTGCCATTAGAACAGAGCCAGCTCCTGATTGGCTGATTGTCTGACAGCAGGCTATAAAAGGGAATTGTCAGATGGAGATAGTTAATTCTGTTACTATTACTGTTAGTGTTGAGTCAAGACACCAGGTTATTTATATTGTTGCAGTTGTGAATATTGCAAAGATAACTGTCTGCCTGTTTGAGACACCCACACATGTTCTGAGTATTGAACAATTGGCGACCCTATCTTTATAAATTAACAAAGCTAAGTCTTTATGCGTTCTTCCAAATTTACAATCCCACCCCCAAAAAAGTAAACATTTCTGTTATCCTAGGCCAACAGAGGTTATCGTGTTTCTCCAAAATTATGACATGTCCTGATAATAAGGCCATGCCACATTTTTCTGGTGGGCAAAAATATAAGCCCTCCCCCGCAAATAAGCCCCCTGGACAACCCCTACCTCCGGCCAGGCAGAGCACCACTCACCAGCCTAGAGGTATCCTGAAGGTGCCAACCCACGGGAACTGGGGGGAGGCAAAGGTGTCTGTCTATCTCTCTCTATCTATCTATCTATCTATCTATCTATCTATCTATCTATCTATCTATCTATCTATCTAT